TAGTGTAAGAAAACAACAAGTTTATATAGGATGTTCTAATTGTAGGGGAAAACACTGAAAACAACACCACAGCTTAAGTTACAACAGAGTACCCATTAGTCAGTCCTTAAATTTGACTTTTTCTTTTACATATAATTCTTCTCCTAAATAATGTATTAAAAAAAATCTTCATTCTAAGTACATATTTCAAACATTCTACAAATCTTAACTGTTCAAAGATCAGAGTTAAAAAGAAAGGTCTTAGTTAACGTCTAAGTATACTTTAACACCTAAGCATCAACTTTATCTGTCAGGTGCAAAGCTGCTCCCTTTTGAATGTCAGAGCTGCAGTGTTCCTAAGTAAAAATATAATCATTAGGAAAATACTACCCCTTTTGCCCTAAATTCTCCACGGCAATATTCAAATTACCCAATCCCAAAAGTCCCATCTATACTACTTGAATTAAAACATTTGTTCAAAACCCACGAGACTCATATTGAAGGTATGCTGCATAATGTCCAGGAGTATTGCCACACGAAACAAGTTGGCAGAAACCCTCTGACTTCATATATACATCCATCCAACCCTGACCTACAGTCCACCTGGGACTTTGTTCATAAAAGAACACCCCCATGAAGTGTAAAATAGCTCAGGTAAGGGAGAAATGGGAGTGGAGCCAAGCCAGCTGAACATGCATTGCCACTCCAGTCCATCCACCTTGATTACTTAAATATCAAAGCATACAAGGAATTAGGAAGCAGGAAACAGATGAACAGCTCAGAAACCCAAATATACCTGGGAGACTACTGACTTGGGTCCTAATCTAGAAGAGTTAACTAACTCTCTTCTAACTACAGGCAGGACACAATGAATGGTGCCTACCATGCTAGGAGAGAATCTGTAGAGTAGGTCGTGCTTAGTTTTTGGTTTTTAGGTAGATGGACTGGATTGGGCCAATCAAAACCCAGAATGACATATGGTTGAAGGCACCTTTGGGGCTCTAAAGTCTAACTCCCTGCTCAAAGCAGTCCTGTCAAAGCAGCCTGACTTGGGGCTGCATCCATCAGTTTTAAGAGTTTCCAGGGACAGAGATGCTACCACCTCTCTGGGCCCCTGTTCCAGTGTTTCACCACGCTCCTCACAGCACAAAGTTTATTCCTATGTCAAGTTGGAAGATGTCCTTCTATTGTGCATTGCTGAGACAAGTGAGGCTTCATCATCTCTGTACTCTCTCATGAAGTAGCTACAGACAGGAATAAGATTCCCTCAATTCTCTGCAAAGGTCATATGAAACCTGTTATTTTGCCCTTTCTGTGCCTGCCGTGTGCTCCAGGTCCCCCAGTCATCAGCCTGTGTATTCAGTGGGCTTGCTCCAAGACGCCAAAGGATCAGAACTATTACCATCTTTTACAATTCATTTCAAATTCTTCTTTGAACACAGTATTTGAACAAACAATGGATTCCTAAACAGCTTAGCCTTCCAAGGGAATTTAACCGTTAAAAGTCATTCAGAATAAGCACTATTACAGCCTTGTAACTGGAGGGGATTAATGGAAGCACCAACTACCAGGGTCCAGCAAGGTCCAAAGGACAACAGACAATCCTCTAGACATAGTAGAAAACCTAGGAGCTTTTGAGCAGTAGCCAAGGGCCAGCACATCGTAATCATCAGATACTTATGTTATGTGCTAACTGCTTTGAAGAGAGTTTGAACTGCATCATTGCCATGCACTTCTGTAACACTGAGCTGTTTGTCTCAATCGACACAAAAAGCAAAAAGACCAGAAGCACTAGCTGGGCTCTAAGTCACTTTGAAGCAACACTGTGAAATGCTCTTGGGACAGTCAGAGTAATGAAGTGATAAAGACAGATCTGCCCATGCAAGGCACAACAGTGACTGCTACTTTGCAATAACTTTTTCTTTGAAGTGCATTGTAAAACTGTTTTCTTCCAAAAGACAGCTTGTAAGACATTATACATGATACACACAACCACCACCCACTCTGGAAAAGCTTAAAAATAGGTTGTAAAAAACCCCAAACCAACCAACAAACAAAAAAAAAAACCACCCCAGTATGAATTTACAATAAAACGTGAACAGTGAGATCAAAGAGATGGCAAATGTCACAGCATCAAAAAACTCAAAGACATGTTCTAGTACCAGCAGCCATCATGGTCACTGTTGCTGCAATGTCCAGATCTACACACTTCATCACTGCTTGTGCTTTTCTTTTCCAGTTTGCTATACCTAGCTTTAAAACCTTATTAAAGTCTTTTAGACTCATGTTTATTATCTGTACCATTTTCAGCTTCTGGGACAGGATAAAAAACCCCAAGCAACTACCAAGAAACACGTAAGAATGTTTATACATGAGTTTTCTTATGTTCCTTAGCACTGAATATAAAACTTTAAGAAAAGTTATGTAGCACACACTCTAAAAGCAATAGAAGCAATTCCTTTAAGATGCAGATAGCTGAATTTCCTTCCCATAAAGAACATAATGCTGTCACAAACGTTGTGGGCTCAATTTTTCTCTCCAAAGTGGAGCTTCAGGTGATTTTGTAAACAATTTCATTCCCTCCCTTAACAGGAGCACTGGTTCAAAATCATTTTCCAGACAGGAAAATCAGTGACAGAGGATATGCTTTAGTCATATTTTCTCCCTTTTAAAAGGCATTTTATCATGCAGAATATCTAGTTATAATACTAAAATGATTTAAAGGGTGGCTCCACTTCCCTTCACATGTTTTTCTTTCCTCATCAGCAGTCCTACTGATGATAGATCTATACAGACACACAGTCATAAAACAGGCTGTTCACATCTACTTAGAATTTGTATAGTGCTTCTCATAAAATCTTAATACCTTCTAAATCCCAATGAGTTTATCATCCCTAAATTCCGGTGATCACAGAATCACAGAATGGTTTGGGTTGGAAAGGACCTTAAGATCATCCAGTCTCAAGCACCTTCCATGGGCAGGGACACCTCACACTAGCCCATGTCATCCAAGGCTCCATCCAATGATGTACATTTATACATATTTATATATGCAAACATTTATACAATGATGTACATTTATAGCTTAGACATTACCTTAAGGAGCATTTAGTAAAAATTATGCATGAATAAGGTCCAGCTGGGACCTTAAAAAGTTTCAGTTTCATGATGATGAACACCAGTTTCTGACAGCTTTGTAACAATAAAAGTGTTCACTGGACACCCAAAGGACACTAAGCACATCTGAAAGAGAAGGCTTTCAAACAAGCAAAACATCTGAAACAAGTTGCCCAGGGTCAAAAAGACCAGCAGGATCAGGAAGAGGCTCTTCATTCTCTCAGTACTCTGCCAACATGCCCATCTTTTAAGTCCATGAATCATGTACTTCTGATAAATGAAAAAAAACCTGAAAACCTGTGCTCAAATTCTGTCATTTGTAACAAAACCACACCTAGCTACCACCATTATGACCTCTCAATATTAGAAAGTTGAATTAAAACCAGTCAAAACTATTTGACTCAAAACTCTACAAGAACAACTGAAAATCCGATTCAGACAAACAACATAAAACCCCAACAGCAATAGTTATCTGGAGGGAAAGTAAATCATTCCAGCTCTGTTTAAAGCTAGCAGAAGTTAAATGCAACTTCCTAAAAAGTTTCAAGCGTGTACATGCAAAGTTTTAGCTATACAGTATTTCCTTCATTATCCCAAGCTCACGATATTCATAAAGAAAAGACAAAAGGAGTGGCATGCTTCACCTTACAAGCATATGGCATCCCTCCAAACGAGCAGCATGTGCTTGCCACATGGTCCCCAAGTTGCCAGAATATGTCCCCATCAGTCCAACACACCAGTTCCAGACCTTTCCATGAGATTTCTTCAGAATACATGTGTATTTTGCAAGTATGGGAGGACACCCATACATTAACCATGAAGATATCCTCTGCTTTGAACTTGCTAGGGGACCCAAAACGGGATGCCTGCAGCACCTAACTGCCCACGTATCTAAGCTTCCTAGACTTAGACTGAGCACTCTGTTTCTGCATGCACATTACTGACAGGAGCTAAGCCACTAGCTCACTAGGTGGAGACATCTTCCAAAACTGACTGCAGCACAGACAAGCCTTAAGCTTTGTGATTATAGCAAACACGCTGGAAGTCTAGTGTAAGTAACAATGGCATTGAAAAAGTCAGCTCTTTCCCCTGTTGTTCGTAGCAAAATGTCTATATAAAGGAAACTTTTGTTAACCTTTTCACTGGGGACAAGAGGCTGGAAATCATCCCCTCAGAAAGGGATCTGGAATTTGAGTTCATGGCAAACTGAATGTGATCCAACAGCATGTCCTAGCAGCAGAGAAAGGACTAGCTGTGTCCTGGGGTGCATCCAGAACAGCACAGCTAGCTGGTCGAGAGAGGTGACTGTCCCTCTCTACACTGCCTCACCTTGAGTACTGTGCGTGGGTTTGGGTGTCTCAATATAAGGACATCAAACACTTTTACACTAGTTTCTCTCTTAACCCATCTTTGGGTTTTAAATCATTTTCAAACCAAGCAATTATTTTGCTTTATAAACCACTCGTTAAAATAGGATTTGGGCACTTTCACTTTCAGACATCTCAAAGATTACATTCCTAATCTCTGACAGCAATTTTACATGCACTGCCACAGCATAACCGTGGTTACTAAACTAGCAGATTTTAGGAAAAATGCATACTTCACAAATAACCCAGAGATATCCATTATGGATACATTTAAGGTTTCTAATTATAACTAATGCCCATCTTGCAGAACCCACAAAGGTCATTAATTATGTTTTTTCTTTTTCAGGGTTCTATTTGACTCAAAAAAGAAAAAAGCATTTATTTTATAAAGAAACCTTTTATACAAGTAGATTCACTGGTGAGAACAGCATAAATGGCTGCTTACTTTATCAACACAGCTCATGAAACTAGCTTGACATGACTTGGGAAGTGTGACATGTATCTATTATAATATATGTGTATAAAAATTATTCTTACCAATATGACTTGGAAAAGAACTGGAAAAAGTTGGACTTCTTCCACAAGTCTGAAAAAGAACATATTTAAGATTTATTTAAAAGCAGAGGAAGTGAATTCTTATTTAACACACTAAACTCACAGAAGGAGCAGAGTAGTAGAATAGCTGTTGCCAAAATCCATGACCCAGAACCTCAGCCTCTGACTAGCTCTCAATAAAAATGAGCTCCACTTCAGCTATTAAATAGAAACAGCAATGTTCTACTGCTTTGGAAATTACTTCTAGGTCTGCTTCAGTGATGCGATTCAAGTGAGTGGAACTGTAATGAAATGTTTTTAAATGGCAGAAATGAATAAAAATTCAGAATTATAACAGTATACACACCATGAAATGGTGCACCATTAAGAATTTGAATTAATAGACTCAGTGCACATCATGAAATTATAAATATGCTGTGTTTTTTAAAACATGCTACATTAACATCATGGGTTTACCATATTAATATATCATATATTTGTCAGGCCACTCTCAACACTACTGAGGAGTTGTTACCCAAAAGAATTTAGCTATATAAAAGAATTTAGCTATATTCTCCTGAATTTCAAAATCAGACACAAACCAGCATACATATATACTTATAAAAAAGAATATCCTCAAAAAACAGTAATACTTTACATTCACAGTCTTTTCTATTTTTAGCATCCAAAACACTTTGTATTTATTAGGAAATCAGGTGTCTTACAAAAACTATGACTTATATAATTCTATGATGTTCTTTTGTGTATTATGCTAATCTAAAGAATGATTGTCCCTTTGCCCATTCATCAACCACCACAAACCAGCAAACTGTGTGTTTTGAAACTTTCTTGTGTCTTTATAACATTACTGAAGTGCTTCATAAACAACAGGCAGGTTTAGCCTTGTGGTATGTCTATGAGATACTGTTATAAAGTTCTCATGAAGAACGAAGAGTTTATCTAAGGAAAGGAACTCTTTATTTCTAAGTGAGGAAGCTTGAATTTAAGGACTACTTCTGTTCTTATCAAGTTGATATAAAAAAATACCCATGTGCAATGGAAATCCGAACAAGTTCCTTACATAGGTCAGGAGAACCTGAAAGCTATTCTCCTCCGTGCTGTCTAACAATCCCTAAACATACAGTTATGGCACCTGGGACACAGCCAGGTCATTAAGAAGAATCCTCAGGATTGCAGATAGGAAGAGTTATTATATCTGAGGTTCACTTTCCAGGGCCAAATCTAATAGTTAAAAGCTTAGACCATGCCTGTAAAACAGAATTTTGCTGATGGGGTATAGCAATACTGAATGCAAAAAAAAAGGTCATTTAAACACCAGACTCCCCAAAAGAGCAACTGCTGTAACAGCAATCATATTGACAAAATGAAGTTTTGCCAGCACAAACCTCCTTATGCTTAGGGCATATTGGAATTACTTACCCTAGTAAAAGCTGCTTACTTTGCTAGGTAAGCAGCATTTAAACTGAGAACACATTGGCAGTAAAACACAATCAGATACCAAGAACAGCTAAGCAATCCCAGTTTAGGAAAGACCTAGAAAAATGCTTTTGTGGTAAAGAGTAAATTGTGAAACAACAGGCTTCAGAAACTGTCAGCAGTTACAAAGTCAGCTATACTTTCTGCTGTGACAGGCAAAGACTAAACGAGAGCCAACATGGCTATTCTTAAAGGTCACCTGCAAACCTTTATGATTGAAACAAGAAATAGCTGGAGCCTTGAAAGAAAATTACACACATAACTTAGCTAAAGCATAAAGCCATATCGAGCAATGTATTAAGACAAAGCCTAAATCCAATTTATCCTAACTTTACATAGGTATGCACAAGAGACAGAGAGTGACATTCACATTCTTCATTGCTATCTTTCAGAGTTTTACAGGTGAAAGAGGAATTTAGCCAAGGAATTAATTTCTTAGAATGGTCATATTCTAATCAAACGCTACTTGGTTCTTTTTTGATATTAAATGATATTAAATTAGCTCCTACCCTGTTTGGAAATCACACAGGGTCTTCACCATACATAGAAGCAAATCCTAATATTAAATAGCAAGTACTTGCACTTTCCTCTCATTTAATTCTACATCCAGATGAACAACACTGGCTCAAAACAACTGGTCATCTGGCTCAATAAGACTCGCCATCAATACCATCTGAATTCTTAACAATTTTCAGAATGGGATGACGCCTTTCAAGAAGTATGCAAGATCTGTTTTACTAAGATATGCTACATTATGCTAAATAATGCTTCATCCCTGGTGGTGTTCAAGGTCAAGTTGGACAGAGCCTTACGTAACATGGTTTAGTGTGAGGTGTCCCTGCCATAGCAGGGGGTTGGAACTGGATGATCTTAAGGTCTTTTCCAACCCAACCAATTCTGTGATTCTATGATTCTATGCAATTACCTTCCTACAAAACACAAACCTACTGCAGGATCCTGAACACAGACCAAAGGCTTTAGGTTACAGATGTGATCCCTGAACAAGCCCAGGCACCTGAACAAGTCCAGTACAACTGGACTTCTGGTTTAGAGTTTAAGCTTTCTATCCTAGCATCAGCATGCAACGGAAGCTTCTTATATTAGGGTGTAAATTTACAGTGCCTTACATTTGTGTCTCACAGGAATAATTCTGGTACATACTAACAAAGGCAGTCTTGAGGAGACAGCATAAGACCAACTCCTTTCTTACTGGGCATCAAGAACATCTGTACTGGCTTCCTATACAGAATTCTCTGTCTGATGAAAACATGATGAGGTATTTCAGTTGTATGTGTTCAAGGTGGGTGTTATACAAAGTCTGGGGTGATTGGAAGGAGAGGGGGTAAATAGAGTGAAATGAATAAGACTTTCGATCTTGTGTCATTGCCAAAAGCCATTTAATAAAGTCCCTATTGCAGTCCTCTAATGAAAATTGTCTAACAATTAATGTTCCTATTTAGCCTTTTTTAAATGCTTTAGTAAATTCTCTGCTTAAATACAAACCTATACATTCTACACATCCAGACTGCTGGCTTCCTCCTTTACAGGCAGGATTTACCCGCAGATAGGCTGGACCTACAGTGCAGTTGGGCCCCAAATACATGAATCTATTTATTTGTGTAAGCAAATCCTGTAAAACTGCAGAGCAGGGAATTTTCCAACGCACTGAGATTTGTGCTCTCAAGTCAATTCATTTTCAAAAGTCAGTATTTTATAGTATTGCCATAAGCTTTTATAAAAACGCCACCAAAAAAAGCAATGTTTTCAAGGCCTTTTTAATTATTTTTTTAAAGCATTTGTGTATTTATAACTTTAAAGGCAAGATTTCAGCCCCAAGTTCCTTAAAGTCATAATTTGCTAAATAATTTTAACTGATTTGATATGTGAAAATTCTTAAGACAACTCTGAAAACACTTCTAGTCATACATTCTTAGTGATATGATTTAGTTCTAGGTAGTTTTGTGACTTGATGATCCTTAGAGGTCCCTTCCAACATGAGATATTCTATGGTATGAAAAACACAATAGGATGTCAAGCAACTGTTTCTTGCTCCAGCCTTCTATAGCTAAGCACTCTCATGCCTGAAAGTTTCTACACTGAACTATTTGTGCAAATAAGTATTGGCGTTAGCCTTTTTCATTAACCAAGATTTCTGGTTATTATTCTCAGCCCTATGAAATTATCAGCATAGTCTGTTAAAGGAAAGAACAAGGGTACTTCATTCACCAGCAAAATCAACCTTCTACCAGTAACCTTGGAATATTTCCAAGAGAGCAAAGCATTCACTTTACACCTCAGATTTCCAACACTCTTACTCAGATAACGTTAATGGAAAGCTTCTGAATCCCTATGGTTTTTCTAAAGGTGATCTGTAAGGTGCAAACCTTAACAGGCCCATCTGCTATATTACTGCCATATGTTTTCAGTGCACTAAATAAGGAAGGTCAAGTAGGCCTTACACCTTCAAACTAACTCATTTGAGACTCCTCCCTTTTGACATTGCCTGCAGATCATGACATGGCAAGAAGGAAGCAGCATAAAGGACATTACGTGGACTTAGGCCTATTCTAAAATAGAGTCTGCAGCATTGTAAATCCTTCTACATATCATCCCCTTACTGAATTTAAAATGAAAAGCTCTTTGAATTGATAAGATGGATGGCTGACCAGAGACAAATGGACCAAGAAAATGTTAAGAGAACATTGGGGAATAGTAGCATCTCTGAGTTGGATCTGGACAAGGATCTCATGGTCCTAGAATTTCCAGTCATAAAAAAATAAAAACATTTATCTTCATGTATGTGGAGAATATGCACCTAAAATTGGACTAGCAATATTTAGAACACTCAGCAGGGACCTGGCTGACCTAGCCAATATGAAGGTTTAAAATGTCCCTATCTTCCACATTCAGTCATCAATCTCCATTTAGGACTCCCAGACTCATGCATCACTCACCTCCTTTCCAAAAGGGTAGGTCTGGGTGCTTGTTGTGTTAAATTTCAATAGTAACCAAATATCTTTCTTAGAAGTGTAAGAGATTCTAAACCTCTTCTTCAGTCCCAGACCCTTCTCCAGGAGAATTTAGCTAGTCAAGGGAGGTTTAGACTGGAGATGAACAATTCCTTCCCCAAAGGGTGGTCAGGTACTGGAACAGGCTGCTCAGGGCAGCAGTGGAGTCACCGTCCCTGGTGGTATTTAGAAGACTTGTAGACATAGTGCTTAGTAACATGGTTTAGTGGACAACTTGGCAACTGGGGTTACTGTTGCTGTTACTGGTGTAACAGTTGGACTTGATCTTAGGGGTCTCTTGCAACCTAAACAATTCTCAGATGCCATATTGTCACCTGCCCCAAACTAAGCGTATAGACATAATCAACAAAGGCAAATCACCAGGACCAAACAGCACTCACCCAAGAGTTCAGAAGGAACTAGAGAAGAGTTTAGCTATTAACTATAGTACATACCTTGTTCAAAACTCTCTGCTTTCATAGGAGATTTAAAAGACAGAAAATGTGATGTCACCAGATACTAACTTTTAAGAAAGGTTGGATGGGGG